ATTCCCACAGTACCTATTCACCTCCCACAAAGTGTATGTGGTGTGGTGTGTATGGTGTTCATAAAGCATTTTCCAGACGTTAAAAAAAAGGCGTCGTTACCATTCATTTAATATTTATAAAAAATCTCTCGATAAAATAGTTATCAATATTTGTTTAGCCTTGCCATATTTATTTAAAATATGAAGTAACCAGTACACAAAATCAAGGTCACAACCCAATCGTTTAAGTTGACCACTTTCTATGGCAAACACTTGTAAATTAAGACTTCACTTGCCGCCACTGGCGACTGGATACCGGCTTCCGAAAGTTGTGCTCACTCTGACTCATATAGGTACGTAAACTACCACGTGATTGAACCTCGCGTATGGTTTTTGTGGATGAGAAAAAAATACCATAAAATAAAGCCATTAAAAAAACAGTGTGTGTATAACATACACCCACCGTTTTTTTTTAATGTCAGCTTGTTTGTTATTCTAAGTTGTATAAAAAAAAATCTAAGGTATTTACTGTCATCTCACTCCAATATTACAGTGTACACATATCGTGTCGTCCTTGTATCGAAAGAAGTGTTAGCAATTATTGCAATATTAGTTTTTCTGTACCCATTTCAGACCGAAACGCACTGATTACACAGCTATGACAAAATGTCGTCCATTCGCCTAACAAATTGTCACCGTCTGTATTAAATGCTCGGATGCATTTGGCCTAATGGTCCCATTTTTAAGATTATGTGCTTCAATAGGAATATTGGGTTCTGTATGTAGAATATTTATTTATTTATTCATTAGTATAAATATGTGTACATGGCGGACTTAATGCTAAAAGCATTCCCTCCCGGTCAACCATAGGGAAATGTCAGAATACTCGAATACGGTACTAGTATATATATATATATATATATATATATATATATAGAAATATAATGTAGAATATACGTAAAATTTTCATATTGTTAATAATTTGCACGCCGACATACAGGCAGAATGTGTATGGGAAATGAATGAATGAATATACTTTATTTGCATTACACAATATAGAAAATAAACAAGACAATTAATAAATATAAAGTTTATTGCTGAGAGCAATCTTTTCAAGACAACTTTAGGGTAATGGTCTAATTGTTGTACAAGTAGGTATTGTATAATTCAGAAAATTAACAGAATAAAACATTAAGAATATTAATTTAAATATTAAATATATATAAGTATATATATATATATATATATATATATATATATATATATATATATATATATATAATATATATATATATATATATATATAGAACATATTTAATTATAGGCATAAGGAAAACAAATTAATATAAAATAAATAATTATATAAATACATAAATAAACAATTCCAATTTATCCACGTAGAAATGTAAACCTCTTCCATCTAAAATTATGTACATTCAAGCAAAATAAATTTCATTTCATTTTAATGCAAATAAAATTTTATAGTATATATTTTGACATTTGCAAAGATTTTTTTTTTTGTAAGAAACACAGAAACATTTTTTTTCGAATCGAATCGAATCGAATAGAATAATAGAAGAATTTTTAGCACGTCAACACTGAACAAAAATGGAAAAGCAGTAGAAAATCCAGCTGGCGTGTTTTCATTTTCATCGAATCATGTATTTGCATACACTTACGAAGGCTGTTTGTGTAGGTACATTAAATAGCTCGAGCTGTAGCATGTCTTGTATGTAGTTAACCGACTTCCAAAAGAATGAGTTTCTCAATAGAGTTTTTATTTTTTATTTTAGTTACTTCATAACTCCGTCCGTTCCAAACCGATTTGGAAAAATCTTTTTTTTTTTATATGAAAGGATATACTATTGGATATAATTTGTAAAAATTGGTCCTGTAGAAATTTTATCAAAAACGGTTTAGTAATTTAATTTTTAGATTAAAATAACTAGTTTTGACAGTTAATGTTTTTTTTTTGTGGGACAATCTTAAAGCCATAACTTGCAAACATCAGTTTCAGACATTACGTACCTATATATGGGGTTTTCGCTGTATTACTAGCAATGGAGTTCTTTGTACCCGTTATAAACAATTCCCTTCTTGGATTTTAACTCTCTGTTACTGCCCAATTTTTCTCTATATCCTTCTCCCCGGGGAAAGGGTACTGAGGTTGGTCGCCATTGCTAGAAATATATTTTACCAGGTCAACTTCCACTAAGTCCTTGGAAACCATCGTGGTGAATTCTCCACAATAGGCTCTGACCATATTTTTATCCTCACCTATTATACTGTACAGGGGGGAAAGGGATTGTTAGCAATGGAGTTTGACAGCCCCATTGCTAGCAATATGTCCTATCAGGTCGACCTCCACGTGGTTCCCCCTGGAAACCATCGTGAACAATTCTAATTTCGTCACGACGGGCTAACTGACCTGCTTCATCCTCACCTATCATCTATCACTGGTGCCCCGCCGGTGTATACTGATAGCGCGGGTGGGGTTACCATTCCATTATCGCCCATTAAAATTATACTATACATACAGTCTGTTATGTCTGTCGTACTGCTCGTGTCTATGGGCGTCATTTTTCGCTTTCCATCAGGTGGGCCGTCAGCTTGTTTGCTATTCTAAGTTGCACAAAAAAGTTATATATATATTCAATGACAAAGATGACAAATAAGCATACGGCCAGTCTTATAGTAGATTTTTAATTGATTAAAATGGAACGCCGAGCCGCCTCTCTCCCAAGGCTGCATACTGCATAAATCAATGTACTTAAATACAATGCTTGTTTCATAAACCAACGGCCTATCTTCCGAATAGGTTTGAGTAACTTCCGTCCGTTAGCAAGCATTGCGCTTGTGTTGTTTTGTATGGCAGAGTGGTTATTAATAGGTGCTTCGCAATATGCAATTATAATGCAATGTGACTCCTAAAAGGAGACTCTAAAGAGCATTCATGAACGAAGTCTGGTAATCGTCGCAATTATTTTTCAATTACCAGAGGGAGACTTTGTACAAAATTCGTTTGCTTGGACATCTCTGTTCCATTAGTGTTTTTACCGTAAATCAGTCGAGTTTACATGGCTGTGTTTCGGTTTGAAGGCTGGGATATGGTAGTGAATTTACAGGGTACAGAGGAATAACATCTGAGTCTTCAGGAATGGCAACGCATGGGGGGTGTCATGGGCGAAACAGTATACACTTTTATGTCCATAGTACTGCTCATGTCTATAGGCGACGGTAACCACTTTCAATCAGGTGGGCTATCAACTTTTTTCCATTCTAAGTTGTTTAAAAAAATAAGAAAGAAAATTAATTTTTTTTTTCAATCATTGATTGCTGTGGAGAAAAATTTACATGTATTTCTTATTTTCGCAAGTACAGTGGTGTTGCGATTAATTTGCTAATAATACAAAAAAAAAAAACAGCTTTTGAAAAATGAGGCCAAGTTCTTTTTGCGTTTGTTGTTTATCTACAGTTCAAAACAGTCGAATGTAGAAATTCATGACCAGTTAAATGCCCCAGTTGGTGTGCATGTGCAAATTTATGACCAGTTTGCAACTGAGGTGTCCATTTAAAGTTGAGAGTAATTATACAATTACTGTGCCCGCAACATTGTCTGTGTGCTTCATCCCAAATAAGTACGCATATATGTTACAACTTGAAGAGGTGGCAAATAAACTTACTTTCAAACCTAGTTTGTGAAGATATTTTTTTTTTAATCGATTGAATAAATTTGAAAGGAACTTAGTATGTAGATATACAAAATCCTAGATGATTGCGTGTATGTATGGTAACCTTCAGGAAAAGAGCATATTCCTTTTTAAAATACTGACAGCAGACTTCCAATTCCTCTGGTGTTGCGGGTGCTCATAGGCGGCGGTAGTCAGCTGCATGCTCGTTTTTCTCTCTTTTATAAAAAAAAAATTAATAGGCTTGAGTTTTAGGCCTCTCTGCCGATTTCGTAAGGAACATAGTGTGAACATATAAAGTAATTTATTCGTATTTACAATACTGTTTGAATTTAAGGTCACCAATGTTCATAAGATAAGCGTTATGATTGTTTTGTTTGATTGATTGTGTGAATCACGTGTATTTGTGCGGAAGCCTAACATCATTAGTGTCTAATCTATCTATGCGCAAATCTACCAGCTCTTTTTAAAGTTCTTGTGATTTTCAATGATAATTTATCCTGTAGCGTATGGTGTATAGGTAAGCATAAGACTAGTCTGATGATATTTTTTTTTTTATTTAATGTGATGAATAAATAAATGAAGTAATTTTATTTGTTGAAATACATGTATATAATACAGGTATAGGAATATAGAATACATTAGAAGTATTTAATGTTAAAAGCAGAATCTCTGCATTCAACCGTGCAAATATTTAATTTTTGAACTTGTCTTAAAATTTTACATTAAAATAATCTTAAAGTGAATAAAAACATTTCTCAGTAAGCCAATTGTAAAGTTTTTCATTAAATTTTTTGTCTGCCAGATCTCTGTATTCTGTCAGTAATTTCAATTTATCTAGTGATATAATTTTATATTTATTTTTACATTTATAGATAGATAGATATATACTCTTTATTGTTTCTTCTAAAAGATTACAATAGTAAATTTATTATATTATATATAAACAATTACAAGAAATAATCATAATGAGAAAACAATGGACGACCTTATCGTGATCTCTTCCAGGCAACCTTTGGATGGAGAAGAATAATTATAAACATTTATTTGTTTATATTACTATATCATATCCCTATAATTGATATGCACCTTAGTGAGGTAAACATGTACTTTTTATCGTTCAATTCTGATTCGTATTACATTGTAATATGATTAATATTTGCATATCAACTAATTGATAGAGGAAGGCTTACTGTACCTACCCCAAATCAATGGGAAAAGGCAAGACAATTATAATGATGATCATCTAATTAATATTTATACTTTTGTTAGAAATTGTAGTGTTCTTAATATCACTTACTATTTTCTTAATATCTTATTATTTTGTTGCAGACAGTGCAGTATATCACAAAATGTAAGTAAAGTTACTTTATTATTTGTTTTTGTGTGCGAGATCTACACTTTTTTACAAGCATACGGCCAACTTGATGGAAAGTGATCGCCGTATTCTATTAGTGATTGCCTTACTACAAGCATTACGTGCATCTTGCGGACCTTCTACAGGGTAAAGAAACATCTTAATCCTGTAAATAAAATTATATATTATAAACTTCCCCTGGAAGCCATCGTGGTTAATCGTAGTGGAATTCGTCACGATGGGCTAACTGACCTGCTTTCATCATCACCTATCATCTATCACTGGTGCCTCGCAAGCGTATCATAGCGCAGGCGGGGTACCATTCCATTATCACCCGTTAAAAAACCGCAGTTACGTTTTGGTGATGTTTTAAGAAGAACGCTCCTACGCATTCCTCGACCATTAAGTTCCCTTAGTCGCCTCTTTCGATATCCACGGGAAAGAAAGATGTTGCCCATTCTATGCCGGGACTACACGGTAATCATGGAAGATATTTAAGAAAAAATTAATGAGGGGTCGACAGCATGAATGAATTTTTTTGGCGTATCGCTAACGATTTATAAACAAAAACGTAAGACAAAGGTTTAACGAAATATGATTTCGTAAAGTCGCTTGCGTTCGTGTTGCGAACTTGGCGCGCAGCGCTGCACGCTCCAATGACTCCACTACTGACTGACGTTTATTATACTAATACACGTTCCTCTGCTATTGCTGTCCGATATTATCATCGAATCACCATGAATCTTGATGATTATAGTCCTTTTCAGGGTTCTGTAGCTCACAAACTATAATTTCCCCATGTCTGCTTCTCCGTCGTGTATGCATCGATCGATTATATTCCAGCCCTTCGATTTCGATTCGATCGATCGATTCGATGCGCTTAATAATAAACAGTAGGGAGTTGGAGTATCGATTATTAGTAATGGGGACTAGTGGCCCCATTGCTGACATTATATCAGGGGTTACCAACGTGACTAGACCCAAGATCTACTGTCTACTGACGAAATCCTGTGCCATCTACCAATTACAATACTTCTTGAAATCACAAATGAAACATCATAGTTCTGTACACAATTATGTAGTATTGGAGTTTTGAAGTTTTTTTTTTTTTATTTTATTAAGAGGGAAAACGTGAAAGTAAAAATTATTCTTAGTAACTATTTATTTATATTAGTGCGAGCATTGCGTCTGAGCATCTTCCGCTGGATTAGCAAAATATTATATTGTTTGCCTTGCCGCGATCGGCTGGACTAATAGTCGTGATCGACCGGTCGATCGCTATCGACCGATTGGCCACTCCTGTACTATACCCTGTCAAATCGATTTCCACCAGGTTACTCTTGGAAATCAATTTGGTTACCCCGCTAACACATTCCGATAGGGGGAAAGGGATTGTTAGCAATGGAGTTTGACAGCCTCATTGCTAGCAATATGCCCTATTAGGTGGACCTCCACGTGGTTCCCCCTGGAAACCATCGTGATCAATTCTTGTTGAATTCGCCACAATGGGCCAACTGACCTGCTTCATCCTCACCTATCACCCTTCACTGGTGCTCCGCCAGCGTATCCCGTTAGCGCAGGCGGGGTTACCATTCCATTTTCACCCGTAGAAAAAAAAAACACATTCCGATAGCACAAATAGGATTAACATTCCATTTTCGTCTAATAAAAATACTTCTGACGTATATTTTGGTGGGAACCATTCACAACGGTGTTTTATTTAAATTTAAAAATGAGTTTGTTTGTTTGTTTGTATTTTGTAATGCCTGTAAGATATATCATAATGTGCAATACAACTGTAATAAATAAATAAATAACCTCTTAACCTTTCAACGGTTTAACCAATCATCATGTAAATTAACATAATACATACGTGTTTAAAGTTTTGAACCGAGATGGACCTAGACTAACCTTAACGTGGATAGGGGGGGAAAGGGATTGTTAGTAATGGAGACTGAGAATCCCATTGCTAGCAATATACCCAACCAGGTCGACCTCCTCGCGGTACTCCCTGGAAACTATCATGGTTAATTCCTGATGGATTCGTCATGATGGGCTCACTGGCCTGTTTTCATTCTCATCTATCACCCTTCACTGGTGCTCCGCCAGCGTATCCCGTTAGCGCAGGCGGGGTTACCATACCATTTTCACCCAGAAGGATTTTTAGTAATCCCATTGCTAGCAATGGGATTACTAAAAATCCCTATTGCTAGCAATATACCTTATTAGGTCGACCTTCGCGCGGTGTCCCTTGGAAACCATCGTAATTGATTTATTGTTGAATTCGTCACGATAGACTAACCGGCCTGCTTCATCATCATCTATCATCCCTCACTGGTGCCCCGCCAGATGTATACCGTTAGCGCAGGCGGGGTAACCATTCCATTATTATTCATTAAAAAAATAATGAATCTTAACCCGCTCGATCGTATTCGATATATCCCACGGTTGTAATAAAAGAGATAATTACCCGAGAAATACCGCGGGTAATACTTGTTTTACAAGCTCACCTCATTTTCCTGACATTGTCTCTCTTGCTTACTTTATTTATACTAATTAATAAATATTATAGATTTATAAGTTGTATACACATATCTCTACCTATTGCTTTTAGCATAGCAAATATGGGACTCTCGAACAAATATTGCATAACGTTGTCAGTGTCGTGTGTTCGACGCTAGATGGCGCCACTGACCAACTGCAACGTTTACGCACAGTGCCATTGTACTATACGTACGGTTTGTTTCGAACCACTCGGGTGTAGTGATGCCATAAAGGATGTTGTGTAAAATTTATCGATATTTTTATAATTACGAGGAAATTAATCTTAGATACGGTATCAGATGTATTTTGTTAAATGTTGTCCTCGTGCTTAATGTAAGAGTGTTGCTCGCTCTATCATAACCTGTGTATACCCAATATGTATTATTTATTATATTTTGTTTTTTTTTTTTTATTAAAGAAAACCTACAGCTAAAAAATTTTATTATAAGAAACAAGAGTGAAGACAAAAAGCCAGGTTTTTACAAATAAACATAAAATTTAAAGTAAATAAATATGATATCGCTAATATGTACAATTAATTAAACGTGAAGTATATATATACAAAATTTGTAAAGATAAACGTTACCATTGTATCTATTTTATGTCTCAATTTATGGTCCTAAGTCCAAAACTGATAGTTTCAACATGAAATTTGTAGAAAAAAGTAAAAATTGTAGGTAATATTATATCTTGGCATCCCACATGCAATTCCTTTTGGCAGTTTATTTTAAAAAAATATTATTTCTACTTTATTGCAACACCGCATTGCTGGATTTTTTAATGGGTGATAATGGAATAGTAAACCCGCTAGCGTTATCGGGATACGCTGATGGGGCACCAGTGAGGGATGACAGGTGAGGATGAAAAGGCAGGTCAGTTAGTCCATCGTGAAGTATTCCACTAGAATTAACTACAGCGGTTTCCAGGGGGAATTACGCGGTGGCCGACCTGATAGGGTGTATTGCTAGCAAATGGTCAATTAGACCCCATTACCATCAATCCCTTCCCTTCACCCTCCCGCATTGCTGGTTGCCGTGTGGTTCCGACATAGAAAAAGCCTTTCATTTCTTTCCCGTGAACGCTGTAAGAGGCGATAAAAGGAATTTAAAAGCCGCCTAAAATATCAACAAAATCTAACAGCGGTTGTCAACAAATTACAACAGAAATAAAAGGGGTTGTTTATCCAGATGAGTTCTAAGAGTACTTCCAGCCGAATGAACAGTATACGCAATTTAATTAAAACTGATGACAAACGTGATGTATGTGACGTCATCAATCATACATTCTGTGCAGACCAATTGGGGAGTAGGTAGCCTGTAAGGGTTTTATAAATATCACACGAATGATAATGGATTGTAGATAGAACAACGTATAATAGCATATATCAATTTGCCTATATGTTAATTATCTTTGTTATCAAAAAAATTAATAAAAAGATAAAAAGTTATATTAATAAATTGCCACATTTAAAATTGGTTTTATAAACTACTAGGTTTTTGCCCCTACTTCGTTCGTTAGGATTTCAGAAGTAGGAAAACTAATTATTGTGATTTGACATGACTCGCGATTTTGTTTACGTGGTTGAAGATAAAAAGTAAAGGGAAATTTTTATTTATTTATTTATTTATTACATTTCACGTGGTCCCCCCTGGATAATAATATTATATATTATTTCCAGGGGGGACCACGTGGAGGTCGATCTAACAGGGTATGTTAGTAATGGGACTGGTAGTCCGCATTACTAACTTTCTCCCTTTATGTATCTGCTAGGTTAGGTTTAGATTAGGCAGGCTAAGTTTGAATATGTGAAGTTCACACAGATCTTGAAATCTTCAAAGTATAATAAGCGTAAGCGTATACCAGAATTGTTTCGAACAAGTAATTTAAAAGGACTAAGTATTTATTAATTAATTATTTTTTATTAAAACCGTACAGCTGTTTTGATAATAGGAGTGATTAAAGCAAAGGACTGAAGTAATATACGCATCACGTGTTACTATTTAAAACGTGAGCACCTAATTAATGAATGTTCTAAATCTAAGTATATAAAGTATTTTATCTTTAGGTAATCAATAACAATTTATCACTAATTACGCCACGTTAAGATCCTGTTACAAATTCATATCTTATTTGTACGTTTGCTAGTTCGAATTACAAAAAAACAAATGTCAAGTACGACACGCTTGAATACTTCCGCATTGCATTATTTTCTTCGCAGTTTTAATATTCATATCTTAATAAGAGTAATAGAAGCGAAAACAACAATTTTTGGAATTTTTGTTTGTATTTATGTTTGTTTCGGCATTGCCCAAAAATTACTGCACTAAATTGGATGCGGTTTTCACAGAAGTGTACCTCAAGGTTTAATTTAAAATTTGGTATACGTTTTAGCAAGATATGCTACGACTGGCTTCTAGAAGAAGTCTGTTGATTTTGTACTACTTAAATCGACG